GAAATTAGTTCCTTGGTATTGATTATAAGATATGTTTCTCTTATGGTGACCATGAGTTCCCTTACAGCCTTCTAGGAAGTGCTTGGAAGGTCAGGATTGGTATTGCAATTCACAGTTTTATAGATATACAGAACCCTTGAGGGTATGTGTATGTATACGAGTAAATATTTAATCTTCAGTTTTAATATTTAATATTAAGTTTTGAATGAAACAAATAAGGATCTGAAATTTACAAAAAGTACACATGATTAGATACTTTATTAAGAAACATATGCAACCAGCAACAAACCATGCAATATATTTCAATATTTTTCCATTACCTCTGCAATAGTGTCACATGAACATACAAATTTTAAAATTATTCTCATCATTATTTTCTCTTCCAAATGGCTCCTATAACAACTGGTATTACAGTATACCAGTACGGTAATGGTACTTATGCTAAAGTTTCATTAATGGTTAATTATGGTTAATTACTCAGTATGCAAAGAAATGTTTTTAATAATCGTTACAAACAAAAGTACTGGCCCAATTACAATTCTACAGTAACAGCCTAACAGCCCAATTACAATTCATCACAGAATTTCAACAATTTATAAAATATTACATAATTTGGATATGTACTGTATCTTAATATTTGTCAGTCACACAAGACAATTCATCTTATGAGAATGTCTTTTCTAATATACAAAGTATTAAAAATCAACTATTAGGAGTAGGCCTACAGTTCTGTATTAAATAGATAAGCTATGGAACAGTGTATAATTTAAGTACTTTATAGGAAAATAAATGCAAATTAGATCATAGAAATTAAACAAACTATAATACTGCACTGATATTAAACATAAATAGCTTCACTCTTACCTCAGCACACACAAAACTAGTATTCTAGTATCACAAATATTCAATGTCTTTCTTAGCAAAACAGTCAACTCAATGTTATGTTCCAGTTTCTGCCCACTGTTCAAATGCCTCAGTGATTATACAGCTTAAGTCTTTATTAATGCTCTATTATATACTGCACTAACTAAAATAACAAAATGGAGGGCAGATGTTTGCATTTTTTCTGAAAGGAATGTGTAATAAGTGCATCAAACACAGAGTGAGGTGATTCAAACACTAGAAGGTGAAGGGACGATGACGTTTCGGTCCGCCCTGGACCATTCTCAAGTCGATTGTCACAATCGACTTGAGAATTGTCCAGGACGGACCGAAACGTCGTCATCCCTTCACCTTCTAGTGTGTGGTCTGGTCAACATACTTTAGCCACGTTACTGTGACTCATCGCCTGCACGAGGTGATTCAATATTGTAAAATGAAACGCCCTCTTTTGGAGGGCTCTCAGTGTTTTTCGAGCTAAGCACTGGTCCAGCCAAGACTTAAGGAGATACACTGAGGAGGCCCTTTCAGAAATTACTATAATTAATTTTCTTTCATAACTATAAACACAACTCTCCTATTGAATAATATTAAAAACCTTCACCTTATCATATGTCACTGAAATCAAAATCAAGCATTAAATGTAATGAAAAGCCCATTTCTGATGGACCCCTAGCAGCTCTACACACTTGTCTCTTGTACCACCATGTTTTATCCCACTATACCTATTCTTTTTTTGTCATGACCTACCAAAAGCCAAAACCAGCACTTGGTTCACTCTACAAAGCAAGGAAATCAGAGATCAACCACAAAACTACAGAATACACACCAGAAACCATCTTTGTCATATTTTCTTACAATGAACCTGTTAATATTTTATTACTTTTGCTAGAAATTACCTACTAAAAATTATCTGTTAGATTAAGGACCTGCCCCGAAACGCTATGCATACTAGTGGCTTTACAATAATGTAAAAACATCTATGCTATGTTCTCTTATAAACCCAATGTACCTTCTTGTATATGTATAAATATATATAAATAAATACTAAATAAATAGGTGCAACAAAACAAATCATTCTGGGAGGAAATTAGGCACCCCAGTAAACAAGGCAAATAATCAGTTGTGCATAGTAAAAACCCCAAACTAATGTGATTTGACCCAATTGAAGCAACACTTTGTAGCATATTTCTTTATACTCAATGTTTCTGCTCACCTAGCAGTAAATAGGTACGTTTAGGCGACTGTTATAGGTTACAACCTAAAAAAGGCTAGTCATTGGCCTAGGAGGACCTTGATTCTGCAGGACAGGAGGCTTCCTGTCCCCAATGATGGAAAATGAAAGCAAACTCAGCACACTATCTAAATATGATCATGATTATTATCTCATTAACAGCTAAATTGAGATTGCAAAAAAAATTAAAATATTGCCGCAGCTCCCTCTTCAAACAAAATACTGTATGTGCATTTCAATTACAACATTACAAAGCTGCTTAGAAAATACTAACATTACACATTAAAGGATGCCAGATGCATACATGCAAAAATATATTAATTTATCTATACAGTATTTGTTATGCCATGGTCTACTTTTAGGATACTCCCTCCCTTGAGGCTGATTGTCACACTAAGGCAGAGGAAGGCCAGTCTGCTCTCCTCCCCCCCCCACACACACACACACACACACACACACACACACACACACACACACACACACACACACACACACACACACACACACACACACACACAATAGATTCACGGAAGATGAAAAGGAAATGTGTGAAACACTAAACGAAAAGTTCCAAAGTGTGTTTGTACAAAATGAAATCTTTAGGGAACCAGATGGACCTGAGAGAATGTGCATCTGAAGCATCCCCAGCTAACATAGTTCCAATCTACAAAAGTGGCAGCAGGGAAGACCCCCTCAATTATAGACCTGTATCATTGACAAGTGTAATAGTGAAAGTATTGGAAAAACTAATCAAAACTAAATGGGTAGAACACCTAGAGAGAAATGATATAATATCAGACAGACAGTATGGTTTTCGATCTGGAAGATCCTGTGTATCGAATTTACTCAGTTTCTATGATCGAGCCACAGAGATATTACAGGAAAGAGATGGTTGGGTTGACTGCATCTATCTGGACCTAAAAAAGGCTTTCGACAGAGTTCCACATAAGAGGTTGTTCTGGAAACTGGAAAATATTGGAGGGGTGACAGGTAAGCTTCTATCATGGATGAAAAATTTTCTGACTGATAGAAAAATGAGGGCAGTAATCAGAGGCAATGTATCAGAATGGAGAAATGTCACAAGTGGAGTACCACAGGGTTCAGTTCTTGCACCAGTGATGTTTATTGTGTACATAAATGATCTACCAGTTGGTATACAGAATTATATGAACATGTTTGCTGATGATGCTAAGATAATAGGAAGGATAAGAAATTTAGATGACTGTCATGCCCTTCAAGAAGACCTGGACAAAATAAGTATATGGAGCACCACTTGGCAAATGGAATTTAATGTTAATAAATGTCATGTTATGGAATGTGGAATAGGAGAACATAGCTGAGAAATCTTTAAAGAATTCTGATAAAGAAAGAGATCTAGGAGTGGTTCTAGATAGAAAACTATCAGAGCTCAACCCCCGCAAGCACAACTAGGTGAGTACACACACACACACACACTGCCAAAATTAGATAAGCATGCTCTAATTTTCCTGTTTGTGTACACCAGTGTGTTTCTATATATCCTCATTATTTATATGCTGTACTGCATCTACAACTGTATCAATAGTCAATATTGTTCTGTATATTTTATACAGTATAAAGTATGTCTGTACAAGTACCATGTATCTTTACACAAGATATGAACATATGGGTCACAACTTTTAACTGTTTTGTTTGTGTATTTTTTGGTTTGTAATATGAGAATGCTTCTTCCCACACTGTGACTATTAACTGATGTGAATTTGATAGATCACATCTGAAAGATCTAGCTAAAGATCATGATGTGTGGATATACCCACCAAATGAGGGGGGAACGTTGGACAACCTAGCGGACACAAGTTTCACAAAATTTTGGTGGTTTGTTTTCATTGTTAGGGAGTTCTTTTGGGATTTTAGCACTGCAGTCTCAATTTAAACCATGCAGTAGACTGTTTTGCTTTGTCTATCTTTCTGGGTGCCTTAACCAGTTGTTGGCAAGTATGATTACCTTAAAATGTAAAGTGTTCATATACCATAGCTCCCTGTGCCTCTCTGAAGAGGCCAGGTTCTGGCTCATGGTACCCAGGTATGCCAGTAGAACTCTACGACAGATGGCACCTGATCAGTGTATGAAAGCTTCAGGAAGCCAATGGGGCTCATCCCAGAAAAGGCCACCATTATGATTATATGTAAGTGTACATCAAAATTATGACATCACTGTCAAACAACACCCACTGAAGTCTAAGACCTTTGTTTCCTCTAATTCTTTTGTGGTACCACACATGGGTGAATATGGAATGCACAATAAACTACCAGCCACTGGTGGCAAACAATAGAGAAAATAATGTAAAACAACTAACAGGAAATAATTTTTAACTATTGGAATGAAAGGTAGATAAAATAAACATTAAGAGGTCAAATGCTGAAACTACTGGAAGATTAAAATTAATTTATCATAAAATATACGAAGATGAAACACCACAAGTACAACACACTCTACCTGCAACCACAAAGAGGACAAACAGGTTATGAAACGGCATTGACAAGTAGAACCGCATACAAACTGTAATACTGCATACATCATAGTTATTGGTATATAGTTTTAGGTTAGAATACATGTAATTACTCAAGTGTGTTTGTTTGTGCATGAAGGGTGTATTCAATGTAAAGATCTGCATAAACTACAGTTGTATTATATTACAAAAATTATTTTATACTGTACAGTACAGAATCATATCTGGTTATTTTCACAAATAAACTGAGAAAAACAAGAACCTGTGTGTGAAATTAATACATAATATGGCAGCAAAAATCCATAAGCACATATGCTATGCAAATTATTTATAATATGAAATATGTTGGAATATACTGTACTATATCTCAATTAGGATATATAGTCACTGAAAATTAATTCAATTAAAAATAATTTTATATAGCTTCATTACAGGATACAGTAATATCTTTGTTTTTTTGTTTTTTTCTTTTTATTAATAAGATTCAGGCATGTATTCTTCCACCAAACTGGACTGTATCCCACCTGATGGACCCCAGTCTTGGCAGGCGACCAAAATTACGGTGTCCACGAGAATGATGGAAAGTGCTCACCTGTAAAAAAAAAAACAATATAAGGTTAAATAACAAATACTGTATGTTAGGAAAACTTAATAAATACACGAACTTCAGGCAAAGAGATATGGGTTCCTGCAAATTAAAGATTATCTGATGAAACACAATAATTATTTTTGTAAACACTCATCCTAAATGTTATTTATTGTATATTACAATTAAAATTATAATACAAAACTATTACTATACCGTATCTATCTACTTTTATATTCATAAGATTTCTCTGGGAAAGATACCCTGTTGTGTAATAGTTAAGAACCTCACCCCTCTTGCCTTCTAAGCAAGAGAGCATGGGTTAAAGTCTTGGGTAGGATGGGGTGAAAGGACATCATTCCTTCACTGTTCACCCAGGAGTAATTGCAGACCTATTTATAAAGTGATTAACAGATCATATTCAGGAAAAAAAAAATGTGTGATAAGTTTAAATGAGCTGTGGGAGAGAGAATTCATAGCATACAAACAAGAATGAGAAGGCTTCTTCTCCTCTACCCATTTGTATAAAAAAAAAAGTAAGTTAATCAGTGTTCAAATTCTAAACTCATAAATGCGGCCAGGTAAGGTTGACATTCTATGTTGAGGATTAGGTCAACATCTCAATCATAGTAGAGGACACCATAACAAGGGCAGAAAATATATAGTGACAGGTGTTGATGGACCAATGTCTGGACAGCGTTATTGTTATCTTGAGGTTATCTTGAGATGATTTTGGGGCTTTAGTGTCCCCGCGGCCCGATCCTCGACCAGGCCTCCACCCCCAGGAAGCAGCCCGTGACAGTTGACTAACACCCAGGTACCTATTTTACTGCTAGGTAACAGGGGCATAGGGTGAAAGAAACTCTGCCCATTGTTTCTCGCCGGCGCCTGGGATCGAACCCAGGACCACAGGATCACAAGTCCAGCGTGCTGTCCGCTCGGCCGACCGGTTGCAGGTTATTAGTAAGACACCACATATGGCTTAGGAGCTAGGTCATTATAAGTAATTCCCATTGGCCTTGACATGAAGCTTGTACAGTACTTATGTTTATCAAGGTGCCCCCAAGTCACCTACTGACCTTCCTCAGAATCCATCCACAACATTTGCCAAACTCTCAAGTATGTGGCTAAATCTTTTTATCCTGCCCAAGAATTGAACTAAAATCCCTCAGTTGTGAGCCAAAGATGTAGACCAATGTACTACAGGACTATGGTCACAAAGAGTTTTATCAAAGTAGGTGGTCACATTTCTGTTGCATATTGAAGAAGAGGAGCAGCTGTAAGATTTCCATACTTTCTAACAATCATCGGATTCCAGAGAATTGTGATGGCATCCTCAAAGGCCAATAGACAGGATATGGGTATATTTGTTAGCATCCTCAATTCCTTTATTTACACTGATGATTGCTTTAGCTTATATGAACCATCGGTAAAGGATGGCAGGGATTAATAGAATACAGTAGTCTCTATTTGCAGAAACATACACAGTATTTACATGAATTTATCCGAGGACCACCATCTCTCTAGTAGCCTTGACAAGGACAGTAAGCAGGAGACTTGTCAAAAGTTCCCCCATTTTTTCCGATTCTATCCTGCTGGATTTTGAACTGCAGCAGTATCTTGGCATTTACAATTTTGGTGAGTACTGTATGTGGTTCCAGGGGCTTATAACCTAGTGGGTGAAAGCACATCTGCTTTTTGTTCTATGTTGCGGCTTGATCTCGAAGCTGTTGCTCCTTTCGTGTGTTCCATATTACCTTTTACAGAACTGATCTGGAGCAATACTCTCCAAACTGTTTAGTTTTTTAAGTTTTTTCTTTTTTTTTTTTACTGCAGCTCTCACTTGTTAAATTTTCAATGACTGGTGGATTTTTATTCCATGGTCCTTTTCTTCATCAATCTGCTATAAGGTAGTGGGGATTATTTGGTAGTTATGATGTGCATTGTTACATTCCACATGCAAGGTCTTGCATTTTTTCAATGTTAAATAACATTTGCCAATTTTGTCGAGTTCAATTGTCAAGTTCACATAAATCTCTTTGTAAGGCTTCGATATCATTTTCAATTCCTAATTTACCAAAGATCTAGTGTCATCTGCAAATCTGATAATGCGGTTTGTAACATTCTCATCATCTCGAATGTTTGTAACATTCTTTGTAACATTAGCATCTGCCTGGTAATTCAACTTTGACAGCCAGACAGAAAAGTAGAGTACACAGTAAAACTACACAAAGTTTATTCTCTGAATACATCATAGACAGCAGAAGGGTCTCATTGTTATCAGACACAGAATGTTTTGATTTGAGAGACAAAGTTACAGAAGAAATCTCGGTGTTTGCAGAATTTGTGTTGGGTGGAGAGGTTGCTTAAAAAATGAGATTCCCAGAAGTAGACACCGAGATTGAATGATTGAATGACTGGAGTCTAGCTTGCCTGTATTTATATCAAATATAAGGACATTGGTACTGTAACGTACAAGCAGCCTGTGATTGGTCCTCACCAGACAAGGGTAGAGTCGGCAAATTTTATATGTCATCGACAAATGAGAAGTCTTAAAACTTTGAGGACTGGCTAGTCTTCATCCACATCTAGAACAATTAAGTAAACTTACAAGATCAGCCCAATCACGTCTAGCTGGTAGTGTTGTTTATTCCAAGGCTCTCAATCTTTGCTTGTATGAAAGTTGCCTAAGTTTTGGGTCTCTCTCTCTCTCTCTGAACCCTGAATCCCTTCCGATGCAATGTCATTCAAAGGATGAGATTTCCATTTTCATTCAGTTTTAGCCCACTTTCAAAAATAACAATTTTGCTTACATGACCAAAACACACTCATAAATATTGCCCAAGAAACTGTATATAAGAGCAGATTTCATCAATGTGTAAAACATCACAAAGGATAATTACTAAAAACAAGTAATGCATTGCATTGTATGTTGAAGTAAGTAATTATCAAAGACGGCACCAAGCCGGGAAGATTGTATGTTCAAATAACCTTTGGATTACCATTCTCTCCTTCCGTCAGACGAATCTATCCGATGCATAATTTTTGTTTGAAACTGGACTGAACTTAAAAGAAAATGTAAAGAAAAATATTAAGAACTTTCTTAATATTATTTTCTTAGTAATAATAAATACAGTACTGATGATCAGATTACAGTTGGTACATTATTTTTATATTTTATAAAGCCACTAATAACGTGTAGCATTTAAAAAATTACTTAAGTAATGATTTCATTGAATTTTAGCATTATTCTGTTGTACTTATTACTGTACTAAACTTTCAAAGTTTATTTACTCAAGATTTGGTCATCTGCTCTGTCGTGTTAATGTCTAATCCACACTATAGTATTATCAATACAGCACTATATTGTGAAAAGGAAGTTATAAAAAAAAAAAGAATTTTAACTTTACAAAATTATCTTGGATTAAACATCCAAGATATTTATTTTAATCAAACTGGCTCTACTTCAATCAATTATAAACAAATTTCACATACCAAGATTAATTTTTTTAATCATATTACATAATATTTTATCAAATGCCTTAGTAAAATAGGCATGAAATGTGTTTAGCAGCAATAACAATAAAAAAAAAAAATAAAAAAAATGAAATCTCTCCCCCCATCCCCACATCCCACCTAATCTTGGATATAACTTGTATCTATTCCTATCATTTCAAGTTCCTGCTTAAATCAGTTGTATAAACTTTCTCCAGTGTGAGACCCCCAGATTCACTTTGCATTTTATCTATGAAGTATTGACAATGGATGGTGAGGAGATTTCTTTTCCATCAAGTGTCCATTGGGTTATTCTTGTGGCCGCTATGAACAGCCCGTCCTCCTAAGGTTTCCCAACGTCAAGAAAACGGTCAAATTAGTGTCTTCTCCTAACCTACCAGAGGACCAAAACAGAAAAATGGGATAGTACATAACTTTCACGAACTGCTTCCATTTTCTAGTACGACGATTTTTGGCCTTATGCAACACATACGAGTGAAAAGTAACTTTCTTTGTAGGACGAGTTGATGTGAAGGACTTTAATTAATGATACAGCCTATTCATTCTGCCTGGTTCATAAATAACAAAGAAAACTAATTCCAATTAAGTACTGTACTGTATTGGATAATCAGTCCAAACAAAGCAGCAAGGTAGGAAGTTTTTCTTTTTTAACTAGAGTATTTAAATATATTTAAAATCAAAAGGTTATTGTATGGAGTTCCCAATTTATGACAGGAATGAGTTCATAATTTTCTGTTGAAAGTTGATTGGTTGGAATTTTCAACCCAATTTTCTATTGTCATAATGTTAAGACATGTTTCCAAAGCATATATTTATTCATGTATATTTATGCATGTATATTATGCATTTATGCATGTATGTTTCCAAAGCATGTATATTTAAGATTTTTAAATATAACAATGAATAAACCCATTTCATTAACCTTGAATCCTTGAATGTAGGTCTATATGTTATAATTACTTAGGAAAGAGGTTCAATTAAGTGGTTTTTCCTTGTCACTGTTTGGTAAATTCGTTTGTGCTCGATTCACCGTGTTCTAAAATTCTGGCCTTGTTTTCAATACTGGTACTAATTGTAGAGTTGTTTACTCTGTATACACGTGTAATCTGTGTTAATATTTCTTCCATGAACACTTTTCCTATTATCAACCATGACTTGATAACTTTAAAAAAAAAAAAAAAAAAAAAAAAAAGGTCCTACAATTTAATAAAAGATTCTACATTGCTCAGTTGGAACACAAATCATCACAAGCTGAGGACCCGTATTTAAGTTTCTAATGAACAATCAAATTTTTTTCAAAATTATCACCTTAACCAGGATGTAGAGATTGTGCACGCTTCAAAATTGATGCTAAAATTTTGTATCTTTTGTAAAGTACAAAAGATACTTGTAAAGATTTTGTGAAGCGCAGTACTGTACTACAGTACTCCGTACAGTCCTGTATTCTAATTAGTTTCCCCATTCTCGGTTACAGAAAGTCTTAAGCTCACAGCAGTCCCTCTAGGCCAACTACCGACCTCCTGGATGCAACCCACAACAGCTGCCCAACTCCAGAGGGAAAACATTTACTGCCATGGCGAATACCCAATGGACATAATAGCCTGGAGCAACACCAATTCAACTCTGAATCTACAATATTAACACTGATTCAATGTGGCACTAATGCCACTCTACAATACTGTACCCTCTGAGGAAGCATAAAAAGAAGGGAAATATGCCTAAACGCCTGTCCTGCAGTGGGAATTGAATTCAAAAAGAGTTGGGTCTCGAGAGAAAGGTCGAGACCCAACTGCACTACCAGTGGATTACAAGGATAAAGCTTGACAACAAAAAGGAAAGTAAAACACTGTGTTCATTATATTTTGTTATACTGTACCTATCATTAAAAAACCAGGAGTATAAAATGTAGTGTTAATATGCAAAAGTGTTTAGTTTTATTTGCATTAAAATAAAAAATGAACATGACATTTGTCAAAATGTGGAATTTTGACAAATCTGGAAGGGGTCTGCAATGAGAGTCCAAATTTAATTTTAAGGATCCATTGTACTGTATTGTAATGCAGGCACCAACACAACAGTCAGCATGAACCCTCATCTTGATCTATTCTCCTCTCTTTAAATTATAAAAAACCTCCTCTTAGACCTCATGACTTACACAAGCAAATTGTTCATCCCATGCCATTATAAAATATAATCCCATATTTTAAATTCCTTCGTCCGCAGATAGACGAGTGCAGGGAGGGCACAAATACAGTATTTAAACCTTGGCCTATTCAGGTTGTTTAGATTCTCAACCACAGACCAAGACAGGAGGGTATACTCTCTATAATTTGGCTCAATATTAGTTCCCTTCCTGCAGTTAAATTGTTTGTCTATTTCCACTGCATTCATTTTTGGCATTGCACAGCATCGCCTTCAGACCAATACACAATGTTATTTTCAAGCTATTCTTAAGAGCTCTGACATTTTTTAATGAACATTTGTAAAGTGATTGCCAATATTTTCCTTTCAATTTTGTATTTCTTCATTTATCATATTCCTTAACTGTTATCCAAGATTTCAATACATGCTTACTCAACAATGACTTCCATTTAATTTACACTTTTTATCAGAACAAAAACACTCGTCTGTTCTGAAAAGTGTCCCCCCCCCCCCCACCCCACCCCTCCAAGTACCTTTCAAACAAGCGATGCCACATCAATTATGATACGTTTTAAGACACTAGTGCTCTTTAGAGTAGAATAATGTTGCACAAACACAAATATTCAAAGATGGAGAAATTGCTGACCTGGAGAGGTTGCAAAGATCTTTTACTGCTCAATAAAACATGACCAAAATACACATCTGAAAATGAAGAAACTAACGTTTCACTCTGTCCTGGACCATTATCAAGTCAGGATACCTTCATGAGCCTGGTTTAAAGATCCCAGAGTCTGGTCAAGATATGTTGATGTTTTAGCTATATCTGACAAAGATTTTGAGAACCTAGATGGGTATTTAGAGGGTCTCAATAGCCTAAAGCATTCCGTGCAATTTACTACGGAAAAAGTTGATAAAAAACTCTTTTGATTGCTTGGTAGGTAGAAGCAATGATCAATTTACATTCTGTACTTACAGGAAAAATGCACCCATTCATTTTTTCTCATATTCTAATTCAGTTAAGCAAAGTGTGCTCACCGGTCTTTAAGAGCTTATAGGATTTGTTACCAATCTTTCCTAGAAGTTGAACTTATATTACTGTAATTGTATAAGTTTTGGGGGATTTAGGTTATTCCTTATGGTTCATTGAAAAAGCACACAGTAAAGCTTAAGGCATTCTTTTTCATTAAAACTGTGAGACACCCTTGGAATCCTTTTAAGAAAATAGTTTTGAAATTGCCTTAAAACCCCATTTTTAGTAAACTGACCTGTAACATAAGGATACAAAACAATCATTTTCAATTACTCAAATATAGTTAGGGGAAAGGGTTAGTAAGAATAGGGTAGAAGAGGATAAAAATCCAGGAGGCATTTATATATTACCTTCAACCCGTTCTCGCAAATTTAATAAGTCAATATTGACTTATTAAATATGTGCATAGCTGACATACTTAACATAATAGCTTCCCTTGAAAAGCTTCGTAGAAAACACCGACCTTACCTAACCTACTTAGTATGTTAAGATAAGCATCTTATTGCTTCGTAATTACAATTATTACCTAACCTATAATAGGTTAAGTAACAATTGTAATTACGAAGCTATAAGATGCTTATTTTAACATACTAAGTAGGTTAGGTAAGGTCGGTGTTTTCTATGAAGCTTTTCAAGGGAAACTATTATGTTTAGTATGTCACCTATGCACGCAACTAATAAGTCAATATTGACTTATTAAATTTGCGAGAACGGGTTGATTACCTTGTAGAGATTGTAATGTTAGGGGGGAAGGGGGAACAGGGCAAAATCTTGAGATCAGTATTTGAAGAACATAAGAAAGCATGTAGAATAATGGCTGGTAACAGTGCTGTTACCCCATAGTTGGGGACAGGATCACAATATTGATTTTAAGAAATGTGACAATCTATAAAGGTAACATTAGAACTAGAAGGGTAGTGGAAAGGGTTCTAATGAATACTCTGAATAATTTTTTTTTCTTGGAACAAAAGCTTTACTTTGGAGGATAACTTTACTAGGAAAATGATTCCGAGTGAATTAAAATTAGATCTCAATAAATGGATGAATGAAAGCAGTCCCATTAGCCGCGTTCTTTGGAGTATGGAGAGGATTATGAGGGACAGCATCCAGATGAATACCTCTATTAATAACAACTCTTAGTTCCCAGAATAGCAGGATTACAGAAAGAACACACGACCATATTTCCGTAGAGGACATTATTGCAGGTACATCGGCAGTCGGGAATAGAGGTGACATGGTCGGGCAGTCAAGAAGAACAAAGAGGACTGGACCCAGGTTAGCAGCCTCACTAGACATTAAGATGCAAGTCTCATCCTAATCGCACACTCAGGCCTTGACAAAGCACTCGGGAGTGTGAAAGACTGTAAATTCCTTACATGAATTTCACAAATACACAAGTGTGGGTTTTTACCCTATGTTGTTATGTCTGTGAGAAGATACAGACATATTACCATTACTAACGTATGGTAATAATGTGAACCATCATACATATATCAACATAATGGACAATTAGAATGTAGAATTTGACACACTCGAATTTGGACAATTGGGAAAAGGTTAACATTTATGTTGCTAACAAAGCCTAACCTACTGGTTGGTGTGGATAATTTCTCTGGTATAAATGGTATCCTTGTAGACACACTAGCCAGCACACAGTTTGAAGACTTGTGACTATAGTTAGATCTTCAGTTTTCAAAGAAGTCTTTATAATAGCTAATATAGTACTTTGACATTTTTAAATAAATTTTTACATTAGTGAAAATGTTAATATTTGTTGCAGGGCTGGGAAAGCATCACAGGAATTCTCATTTTATGTGATTTTATCATGTACAGTATTAATCTTTCTGAGAAGGGAAGGTTTTTTCCCCGGTGAAAAATCAGGGGAAAGCACCAAGCCATTACGACTATATAGCACTTGGAAGGGGTCAGGATAAGGTTATGGGATGGGACAGGGGAAGGAATGGTGCCCAACCACTTAGACGGTCAGGGTTTGAATGCTGACCTGCATGAAGCGAGACCGTCGCTCTACCGTCCAGCCCAAGTGGTTGGGCATTAATTTAATTTCGAGTTAAATTAATAAAATATAAAACCATACTCTATGGAGTTTGAAGCAATATAACTGTACTGGAATGATTTAACTTGGGTTCTGCAGCATTAACAAGATACATGTGGAATCCTTACTCCATACACAGTTTCAAATGTAGATATGATAGAGCTCAAGACACTCGGGAATCTGTACACCAGTAGATTGACGGTCGAGAGGCGGGACCAAAGAGTCAAAGCTCAACCCCCGCAAGCTCAACTAGACGAGTACAACTAGGCGAGTACATATAATGCAAACTGCATATTAATACATATATAAAAAGATTATAATATATTTTAAAGATATATTTTCAGTATCACATAGGTGCATCAATATACAGCTGTCTCAAATTATCCAGTAAAGATGCAAAAAAAACTAGTCTAGAAAATAAAACAATGTGCAGCTATTTCATTTGCAAGAAACAAATTCAACAATACTAAAAGATAGTTTTTAGTGCGATACAGAATAACAAAAATTAAAATAATAAAAATGTTTAAAAATGCTAACGTCATGGACTAATAAATTATGATAAACATTCCTTACCTTACACAGACTCGGCAAAGTTTACTAAAGAACTTGTAATTTGAATAAAACTTAAATGTAAATTTTATATAATACTGTATATTAGTTCATTTTTGTTAACTAATTAAAATTGATAAAATTACCTAATATAAATATTTAAAATTGTTCATATTTTGAAATAGCTCTGTCATGTTCATTAAAAGCTAAATTAATTGTTTAGTATTACATCGTTACTTAATGTTAGGAGGAAAAGGGTATGAGGGTCAACAAATACTGTACAGTAACTGCAATAAAAGCATGCATTGCGTGCAAGTCTGTGCATGTTAATAAATAACCGTACTTTACAAATACCATCAATGTCGACAACCTAAAATGCACCCAATTATAGGTACAGCACAGTTTCAAAATAATTTAAAAACAAGTGGTTACTCCCAATGGACACGTGTTTAAAGGAAAAAGTGTAATACTGTATCTATATGAAAAACTAGCCAACAGTCAGAAAAAGCTTGCCCAATCATACATTTTGCTAGCAACAAGCACACTAATACATCATCTTTGTGTCCCCACCAGAGGATCTTAGGAGAGTATTTCGAGAAAATCTCTTCCCGATTGTTTCGGTGTGGAAGCCTAGTTTGATCAGTGCTTCGTGGTCAAGAATCTTGCGCCCATCAAATATGAATGCTGGCTTTTTCATCACTGACAGCATCTTTTTGTAGTCGTACGTCTAGAATAGAAATACTATAAATAGTTCAAGTTGGCAACATTTTGCAGAGAATACATATACTGTACCATTATATATAATCAAAATAAATAATATAAAATGAGAGAGTTGGTTAAGTGACTAGTCTATTAATGGATTCATAAAAAAACTATTAAATTATAACATTAAATTAATGTTCTAGCTACATCACATAATTACGCAATCCCCACTGCTTAAATTAAGCCATGTAGACAAACGCTGATTTGCAAGTGTGTGTTCCTTGAAAATTAAGTAAAATTCAACCCACACAAATCACTCGGCCCTTTGAGTGTGGCACTTCTGTTTTAACCCCATACTTGGGTTTAGATGGGGCAATTTTTTTTTTTTTCTTTATTTAACATTTGTATGGTAAAGTGACCTAGATCTTTGCATGTAAATTTATCTGCTATCACTGAACAAAAACTTTGTATTTTTAAAGATCAAAATAAATGTATTCAAAAGAACCCAGATTTTGTTATTTTCTAATAAAAATATGATCCAATTATCCCAAAATTAGACCATAAGTGTTCCCAACACATTATAATAAAAAATATATATTATATTATATATATATATATATATATATATATATATATATATATATATATATATATATATATATATATATATATATATATATTGTATATAATCAAAATAGCCATATAACTTCTTAATGTTTGAGAGGAAGGAGGCGTTATCTTTGAGGCTTTAAGTTGTATAAACTTTCAAATTATAAAAGGAGGTGCTCCTTCCATAGTAACACTGAAAATCACTAAAAAAAAATTTTTTTACAACAGTTATAAAAACAATCAAAATTACTCAATACTAGGCATAAATACTCCCAATGTGCATGACAAATACAAGGAATATGCATAATCATCAATCTATTGCATGTATTTTAGTAGCAAAATTAAAACAAATTTTTCAATTTTTTTCCTAAACGAGAAAAATGATGCTATTTACAATTACTGTACCATAATCACTATAGAACTCATAACGGTCTTGGGCGGGAAAATAGTACAGTATTCCTGATGGATTAAGATCATCCATGCAGCAGATCTTAATCCATGGGATTACATTTTCTACTGTCACTGCTAAAAAGTTGCAGTGCCCAAATTCTTCTTCTGATAGCCAGATATCTATAAACAAATGTTAAAAAGATTTAAAATCTACATTTGAGACATTTGGAACAAGTTCTAGTTCCATCTACTAATTTATCTCAATGCTAGCTGATGGCCCATTACATACATAGTATCTGCATCCCTATTCCCACACCAGTATTTCCTTATAATACTCCTAAAACAATTACTAAAACTACTAGCACTTAAGGTACTGTATTTGTGCATTTATATACCGAAAGATTATCACAGGAAACACAGCAAGGCAATTGTATTAAACTCACTGTGAATTCGTCCCACTCCGTGAGCACAACAATGGCATGGGCGTCTTTGACAGCTTCATAAGGGTCAGAATAGATGTGTATCAATTTTTGGACACGTTCAGGATCACTTGTAATTGCTAAACTTGTCAGGTCGTGTTCAATTTGTTTACCTTCCACCTGAAAAAATTATGATAATGATGCAAAATGAAGTATATTAATATAAAATAATACTAGACATAAGTGCATATATGCTTAAGTACTGCAGCTACATAGGAAAAAATGAAACTAAAATTCTGAATGTTTTCAGGTTTCAATAACTTATCAAGGGATACCATGACATTACTTGTATTCCTTGATAATGTGTTGAAAAGTAAAATATTCAGAATTTTTGTTTTTCTCCTATGTGGATACTTACGAATAACTGAATATTTATACAATATGTATGTATATATACATACTGTACATGGGTGTGTATGGGTGACAACTGCATGTCACATGGGTGACAGCTTCTCCCTCGCGTCAACCTACCCTGGCTTTGCGCCCTGGAGAGGCCACACTAGACCGACAACCAGAGCTCAACTCCATAATCTCCCAAGACTGATGGATGCCTACTAATATATATGTATGTATTTATTTATTGGCCATTACCTGTAATTCAAATGCAAAGTACAATGAAATACAGTGTATTTAAGTCAGAGTAATGGCTAGCAATGTATACCACTTTAGAGATAAAAGATACACCTGCAGATGTTATTTAGTTAACTTGAGAGAAGACATATATATATATGTATATGTATATATATGTATGTATACATACAAATTTCAAATACAGAAGTAAAAGCATACAAAAGTAATAAAGGGTGCAATAAGGTAAAGTGCTCAGAAGGCAAAACACTGGTGCAAAAAAACGAAAACCTTCATATTTATCACTACTGTAACTAGATCAACTGCATTTAATATATGCATTATGAATGACATCAATAGTATCTATACAGTATTCCTGAAGCCTTGTTCCTCCGTCTAGTAAGATACTGCACACGACATCATCGATCAATATCTTAGGCACCATCCAGTCTGACTAGTAGTAATTGAATAGGTGAACACATGGATATCTTATGTTTTTACAGGCAAACACCTATTTAAGATGTAATTCAGAACTCGTTTCTTCTCCTCTTATCTGTCGTACACGTACAAGATGCGAGTGACAGTCAATTTCAACATGAATTTAACACTGAGTTGCCATATTTCAGGACTCCAATAGAGGAATTTTATGAATATGGATAATTATGCCAATTTTTTTTAGGCGTGTGCATCACATTAACTATTAAAAATAATTAACATGTTAAACTAAACTGTAGAGCTTCTTTCTATTTTGATTATATAACATTTATAAATAAGAAGTGCAAAGACCTCAGATATAAATATAAATCAAAATAAAATATACCTTCGTAAATGTAGTCAGCCTTTTCTTATTGCAGTCGCACTCACAAGACAGACTGCTCTTTCTGACTTGCAATGTCTCTTCCTCCTCCTCCTCCCTGTAAAAATGCACGCCGTCTGCACACACACGGCGCTATTAGGACACGCCGTTAATTTAAGTTTTACCAGAAACGAAGTTGGTGAAAAGTACGTACAAAGCAAAAGTCCGGGTATTTTTAGTGCGTGTAAATTTCGCTTGAACGGAGATCGGAGTACCAAGAAATAGATACCCAGGAAAAACCCAGATATGTGGTAACCCTAATCCTCAACATCTATTTCACAAATACCACCTCACCTTATATATTCTAAGAACTTAAATTCTAAAAAAGATGTCTCGCTTAATCAAAAGTTTGCATTAAATATAACTGGGCACATTACAGTGTGCATTATTGTAAATAATGTCTTCAGTAGTTCCTTTCAATTGCTTTTCAAACTTTCTGCTCATTTCATTTAGCCACCTGATCATTGAGGGTTACAGGTTCTAGGTCCTAATTTTCCATGTTTCAGAGCAAATTCACAATCTATAGATTTTTTGTAGATGAGAATAAATTAATTTCCTTATACAGTATTGTCTATCCTTTTACATGACTGAAGCCCAATTTCTTTAGTGTACAGTACTTAAGAACAAATTGCTAATTGCATACCAATTTCCATCCACCTACATTGGGAAACACATTGCAAGTGTTCTTGCATTTCATTTTTCATCCGATTTTGATTGTATTCGTCATTATGCAACAAATCTGAATGACATGAAAGGTTTGTTTTTGTAACTACAGAGCATAATTAGGTTAACAAATCCTTCCACGTCCCAACCAGTTAACAGTAACAACCTCAAGAGCACAAAAGCTCAGTATTTTGGTTGTGGCAAAAAGTGCCAACAATATTCAAATGTAGCAAAGAAGGCCTGGTCAAGAACAGGGCCACGAGGACATTGAGTCCAGAAATCATCGCAAGATAACCATTGTAGACTAAAGGAGTGAAGGCATTTATGGTCACCATATTTAAAAAATGATTTACATTTAAACGAAATTAAAATTGTTTCCACCCTTTATGACATTGCGCCTCTAATCTACTTATGCTTTACAAGTCCAACAACTTGGGCTGGATGGTTGAGCAACAGTCTTTTCATGCAGTTCAGCATTCGACCGTCCAAGTGGTTGGGCACCATTCCTTCCCCCCTGTCCCATCCCAAATCCTTGTCCTAATCCCTTCCAAGTGCTATATAGTTGTAATGTCTCCACCCCCCTTATACTCTACAAATCAAATGAATGCACTACCCTGAAGATATCTAAATGGTACTACCGAGTATTAATAAATGCTCTATGTTAATCTGGGAACAATGTAAACAGTTACCTTGGGGTCATATATGTTGAGCCGGGCGCTTTCTTCCAGCAGGTGAGAACATACATAAATGGCAGGACTTTCCCTAGTGTCACCAGTGTTCTTCTTGAAAGCAAAGCCAAACACAGCTAATGTTTTATCTGTCACAGTATTGAAAAGGCACTCAACAATCCGCTTGGCAAATCTGTGAGGAATCAACACAAACATCAATTTTAAGTTAACAAATTATTAGGGCATATTTAGCCATGTTAGTTTGTTTTTATAGTGAAATTTGAACTAGATGCTTTAAAGCTACTGCTAAATGTATCAAATATCAAAATAGCAATAAATGAAATCAAGCTGTCTCAGAAGACTAGCATTATATATATTGCACTGTACAAAAGTTAAATTTTAATAGTCTACAGCACTTTCAATTAACAGAAGTTACACATGAAGTACATACAGTTTACTGGAAGAAAACATTTTAGCAATTATTTTTGCAACAGTGAAATGTAATAAAATGCTAAACATAAAATATGCAGGCAAACCAATTATATATAAAAGTATCAAAAACAGCATATAGTGAAACTTGTAGAATTGGAGCACTATTATTCCCCTCCTCACCTAGGTAATTACACACAAACACATGTACACAAACATGCTGGAGGGAGTGACAAGGAGACTCCTGACATAGATAAAAAAAATTCTAACTGCTAGAAAGATGAGGGAGGTAATCAGAGCCAAAGTATCCGACTGAAGGAATGTTATTAACAGAGTACCACAGGGTTCAGTTTTACACCCATAATGTTCATCTATATAAACGATCTACCAGAAGGAATACCCAATTATATGAACATGTTTGCTGATGATGCTAAGCTACTAAGTTAAGAGAAACAATTGTCATGCCCTTTAAAATGACCTAGACAAAATACATATGGGAGCAGCATGTGAAAATGTAATTCAATGTGAATAAATGCCATGTTATGGAATGTGGAATAGGAAAAACAAGGCCCTACACAACCTACAAATTATGTGAAAAGGAATTAAAGATCTAACAGAGATCTAGGGGTTGTTCTGAATATTAGTCTGTCACCAAAAGAGCACATGATGAGCACTGCACCTGCCCATCTATTCACTCTCAACTTAGTTTGTAACAACTTTTATAAATCACATACCCCAGGTTCAACAGCTGCTTGAGAAACTTTTCCCCATCCACCTTAATACAGTTTCTCCTTAAAGTACTGTTACTTGTGTTTTGTCTACATTCAAATGTTAGTATTTTTTAACAAATTTTTGTTTAAACAAATTTGCATATTATCCTCGACTACATCCTCAGCTCACAAAACGGGGGACCCCCATTTCAATTTCTGGGCAGGATAAACAGGTTGGCACATTTCCTTTCAACTGATGGCCAAGTTCACTTACCAGTAAAATAGGTTCTTAGGAATTAGGCAATTGGTGTGGTTTTCATCCTGAGGAAGGTCAATAATTTGGGCTAGGGGACCTTGATAACTTTCAGTACAGGCTTCCTATCCTAACAGCAACAATTAAACATTATACAGTATTTCAAATCTGATATGCAGTACTGTATTCTTAATCCACACCAAGTTACCGAATGACCAAATGCATGTAATGCATAAAGCAAATACCAATGGCATATTAAGCAATTGTCCCAACATCCTACATTATCAAACATTCACTCATTATGTCATGCTCTATTTCCCGATTTAAATCTCATCCGATTATTGAACAATACTGCAAAAATTCCATGCCTGCACATCACTCTCCAGAGGTGCCGTCATTATGAAACATAACGCCAACCGAGGTAATAAATTAAAAAATTAGCACTCCATTTACTTAGGAAGTTGCTCCTAGACACTGATCCTTTACATCATTTGGGATTCGCTTCTAAACACTTACCCCTATGTCAGTACCCATGTCTAAAATTCATTATTAATAATGGAGAGTTTGCTCACTACAGAATACAATATTGCAAAAGATAGCTTTTTTAAATGTTTATGTAAATTAACAGATGGTCTCCATAAAGACATTCAATTATCTTGTGATTCTCTGCATTAATTTGTCATCATGATGCATACTAAAGAGAATAACATTTGTCTTTTGCTCGATGGATAGTGCGTTTTAAACACCTCAGGGTATTTATGCAGTGTTAAGTAAAATACAAACATAATGCACCCAAAATCTCATCTCAAAGCTCACCTGGTTCGCTGATATTCATTGATATCTGTGACCTGCTGCCAGTACAGAGCCACTTCAGGCAGATTTAGGCACTCGGCAATGTAAACAAGGTTTAGCAAGTCTTTTTGGAAGCAGCTACCTCCAAATCCTGTTAAAAAATTACATTATATATTATACACGGTATTATATACTGTATATTAAACACTGTACAGTATATTATATACTGTATATTATATATTATATGGTGTATATATTATATACAGTATTGTATATATATTATACACTGTATATTATAAATTATTTACTGTATATATAATATTATTTACTGTATATATAATATTATATACATGCTGAATATTATATTATATTCTGAGAATACTTAAGAGAATATGAGGCTTGAGGAGTCTGAAGCCTGGTGAAGGCTGATACGAGGAGTCAGCCAAGGCTTGGCAGGAGTGGAGCTAAACTTAGGGAGCTACCAAGGGGCCCATACCAGAATCACACATTTAAGAAACATCTACTAACCAACAGAAGCTTGCAGGAACTTTGAACCAATCCGTGAGTCTCTGCCCACAGCCGCCGCTACTTGAGAAACATCTGCACCGGTAGCCTCACAAAGAGCAGAGATGGCATTGATACTAGACACACGTTGGGCAAGAAAAGCATTTGACGCCTGGGTAAAAATGAGAAACATTAATTCAATTATATAAATATATATATACATCTTATTTATATATATATATATATAGGGGGGGGGGGGGTACCACCTCTAGTGCATATATGTATGTGTGTGTGTGTGTGTGTGTGTGGGAGGGGGGTGTTGGAGGGTGTTGAGGAGGGTATGCAATGGGGGGGAGGGCAAGGAGCAAATGCACCGCTTTGAAATTCAAAATATAACAGGTAAGGAAATTCTCTCCTATCTATCCTCATACCGCTCCTGTTTCTCCCTTTAGTTCCCTCCTTCAATTCTCCACCTTTTCCATCCCCTCTTTTCCCCAGTCATCAATAGGTCATTTGTCTGTTCCTTGAGAGGTCTCTCTCTTTATCTGATATAGCCAGGATAGAACATTAGCTGGTACTTCTGGCTTTCCCCTAGTCCTCTTTCTTCCAACCTCCAGCCCTCCCTCCTGCCTCCATGTTTGACCTCTCAATCTCTCCACTACCTCCAGGCTGGTTCCCCAATTCTTTTCTCCCACTCTCTTTTCAGTGTTGGTTTACATCATTGGTTGATAATTGACAAATCATGTACCAGTCATCCAGACCACAGTCTCTCGCAGGAATCGCTTCACCTCTGTTCCTGGCCATGCCGCAGCTAGGCAAAGGGGTTAGTGACCTCTAGTGATTAGCCCTTGGTATGCCAGAGGGCTGTAGAGGCAGAGTTTCATAGCAGTTCTGTGTAAAATCTTAAAAGGAATATTTAGTGTAGATTGGGCTGTGTTGTAGGGAAGACCGAGGCTGTTTGACCAGGGAGTTGTACATTTGGTTGTACATTCCTGGTTGGAGGAGAAGAGTAAGGTAATTGCTCCCTTTAGTTTTACTTATTATTAATTTAGCATCATTGCCAGCTAGGGTATTCTAGATTGGGAAAATACTTTATTTTATTAATAAATTCTATATTAAAATTTATTTGGGATTTTAGTTAAATTTTCCTGTTATTGATCTTTGAGCATATTTCACCTGGAGCTCTCTTCAACTTTGGCATTATTCAGTCATCCTCCAAGACACTTCAATAATTAACCTAGTTGAAGTAATCTTTCACAGTGAAGTTCCAGAATTTAAAAGTTTTAACTTATAATTATCACTTCAGTAATTCCCAAGAGTAAATTCCTAGTCCTTGTGAGTCAGGTCCATGACTTACCACTTTGGGTCAGGTCAAAGTAATTATTTTGAGAAAATGTCAAAAGGGGTGGTGGCAGCAATTAACAGGTGTGGTATCAGTAAATCCTGCATCTAATTATCCCATATCCTGGCAGCAACTTCCCATATGATAATTAAATTCTTGGCCCATCATGGAATAATTCAGTGGCATTCACTGCCGAGACGACTGGAATTATTCTGGGTTTTGTATGCATATTAGTGGCTAGGATAATTATTAAAGCTTACATTTAAAGATAGCATTATAAAGGTAGTCATTACAGGAATTAAAAAAAAAATATGGTATGGGTCTGACACTTAAGATTTAAGGTTTGAATGTACAGTATACACAATAACCAAATATTGGCAAGATCCTTGTGCATCAATAATTAATTTAAGAATTTTAAGTACAACAATAAAGTTCCAAATATATCTTGCAGGATGATTTCACACGAGTAAAAAGAAAATAAACATGATTGAAATCTTGAAGGAAAGAATGATATGGAATAAGAGATGCCTACATAAAGAAATGTTTCCTTAAACACTTATGTTATTCTGGTGGTGTTCAAACATTCGACTCTCTTTAATATCATAAAAAGCTTCTATTTTCTCCAGTAGCTTCTCTTCCTCACTAATGTCCACTAAAACATTTCATAACCTTTTATTACATTTTTAGTAATGTTTGCACATCATTCATAAACATACCAGTTTAGAAAGTTCAGAAGACCAGGTGCTAGTTGTGATGATTTTCTCTGTTGGAACCCAATGGTTGTAAATCCAAGTGAGCTGTGCAACTGCTTCATCGCCCTCAGACGACTCCTCACCACCAATCAACACACGCTCGGGATTTAGAAGATTTTCAATAGCAGTACCCTCAGCTAAAAATTCAGGATTAGACAATACCTGACAAAGTAAGAGGCTTTGTTTAGAATAAAGAAATTTAAACTTATATAAAGTAGTAATTTTGACCAGACCACACACTAGAAGGTGAAGGGATGACAACGTTTCGGTCCGTCCTGGACCATTCTCAAGTCGATTGTAATTCTCACAATCGACTTGAGAATGGTCCAGGACGGACCGAAACGTTGTCGTCCCTTCACCTTCTAGTGTTGTGGTCTGGTCAACATTCTTCAGCCACGTTATTGTGACTCAACGCCTGCAAGTAAGCAATTTATAATATAAATTTATATTATAAATTTAATTAAAATTTATTTGCTTTAAAGTAATCTATATCTGAAAAGTCTAAATATTCCTCATAGCCATGGCACAAATAATGTTTAGGAAACCAACAGATAACTATACAGGGTAATTTTGTTTGGATATCTGAATCTGATTTGCACTTTGAATTAAACTGCTAGTTTTACACTCTTGTTTTTAAGTAGATAAGGTGACCCAGCACTATTAGTGTGGTGTGGGAGTTCAAGCATGGTTTATACATGTACAGTATTGCTAGAATTCAAATCATCCCTTCAGTATGTTAGAAAAGAATGGTACTAATTTATTGGGAAAAGCTTTGACAAACTGCCAAAATAAGACAAAACCTGGGTTGAGTAGAAAATGTAATTGAAATTATTGGTAGCGTATCTTATGATTGGCTACGATTTGAGCATGTGGCTCAACGTTAAAATGACATTATTCGGCATTAGTTGGTACTGTTAGTACTATACAGTACCTTTAACTAGGGGATTAGTTTTACATCTGACTTCGTCAACATGAATTCAAACAAGATAGGTCTCTGCAGCCTAACAAGATTCATTTTAGAGAATGGAACACAGTGTTTCCTATCCTACGCACAGTAGAGGAACTTTACAAGATACTCAACTGCTATTCAAGCCATAGAGCACAATTCCTGCACCACAGAAAAATAGTGTTTGAGAGATAATGAAACTAATGTTCAGAGCCTTCATTTACCTGAAAGGACACTCCAGGTCTTGTGTTGGCTGACAAAATATGAGTAATGGATTCAGCGGCACGCACAGGAACTGTTGATTTCTCCACCACGATCTTGTTTCCTTCCGATACCTCGGCAATCGTCCGAGCACACATCTCTATGTGCTTCAGGTCAGCTGCTCGACCCTAAAAAAATATGGAACAGTAACAATGTTGCATCATTTAGCCTATTATGTTTGTATACTCTAAGAAGTATCAAAGTAAACCAATTATAGATACAAATCTAAGGAGGGATAAAGTTAATGGAAAATTGTTAACATAAATCTATAAAGGATGCTGGATAATCTAGTGTGTGCTGAGGTTTGTAAACTCGCACCTCATTACTGCAATGAAATGTATGTGTCATCTTTACAAATTTTAACATACTGGTACTGTACTAGAAATTTGCATTAAAAAATAAGATGATTGATTATTAAGAGTAAACATTTTAAATGGACTACTATTAAGACATTAAATACACAATGATATAAACATGGGTTTTTGCATTAATAATTACGCCATATACAAAATATTGCTCATTTCAGTTCAACGAAAATATTATTACTAACCGCTTTGTTTCACATTTTCTCAGATAATACAAACAAATATGAATTGACAAATTATTTTCCAGTTTAAGTCCTACAGCCCATAGTCCAATAAAAAGTATTGTATTTATTTTGTCTCTGAACCTCTAATTACTTCAAGAGGTTGTTACTTCCTCATTCATTGTAAAATCATATAATTCAATATTCATTCTAGGAACCTGTCTTCAGGGAGGAGGTACTCTGCAGCCAATCAGTTCAAAACCCTTACATATTTAGTGCTATTATCTACTCCCTATCCATAATCACCTTAGATTATGGTTAAGTAAAGGTAACATTACATTAAGGTTTCTTTTCTTAGGATAGGTTAAGTTAGGCTTTGTTATGTTTGGTTGCCTTAATACCATACAAAATACATACCAAACATGTCAAATATGAAACTGGGTATTCCCTAGAATTTATTTTACAGATAACCATATTCTTCACACTTTCAAAGAAAATGAGCAAAGACTTAATATTTTAAACTAATGACATATAATTCAATAAAGTTATAACTTGAGAATATTCTCTGTTTAGGACAACAGTTCACTTGCCAGTTTACAAGTAGATTATAATTGGAACCATAATATGCTTTCAGACCATTGCAAATATTTAGATACTGTAACTATCCAGGTGGCTTGAGGGGATGGGTGGGTTTTGGTATCTTGTTCTATTCACTTTACTCCGAGAGCGAGCTCCATTCTAGATATGTAACACTTTTCCGTTATGTTGTAATTTTCATTAATTTTTCTAAAGTAAATATCCTCTTGCTATGTCAACTTTGAGGTCCAGGTAAGACTGAAATGTCACCACTAAAATTTCATGTACCTGTAATTAGTTTTCTCAGGGGACAGGAAACCTGAGTATGTATAAAGGTCAAATTACTAACCCTCCCCAGGATGCAACTCTACAACAGCTGACTAACTCCCGAAGACCTACTAACTGCTAGGTGAACAGAGCCATTGGGAGAAAGGGAACATACCCCACCATTTCTCTCTCACCTGGTATACTCGATTGGGTCGAAAACGAACCCAAAATACACTAACAAGACTGTGTGGATTGGGTTCATTGTTGCCACCCAGGTTATTGACATTCTCTGTATACTGTACCTGTGGCACATTCTCCACCTAGGTATCTCTTACACCCTCTTACCATACCAGTCCTGTAACTGAATACAGTAGTTCTCTTTTATTCATTTCCAGGAATCACCACTCTATGTCTCAACTGACAATCCCATATCCATCTATTAGAAAATTTCATAAATTTGGTATTAATTTATGTTGCCAGGTACAGGAAGCCTGAATGAACATATGTATATTTATTTTTTATTTTTTTAATTATTTATTAATTTTATGTATTTATGTATTTATTTATTTATGTATTTATACATACACGTGTAAAAAATTAAGTCCCACATTGCTTGATTTGGGTAATTATTATTTGTCAAATATAGATACTGTTCTTAAAAGATTCCCCCATTTTGCACCCGCAAGATATCACAACAAAATAACCCACCTAGGTGAGTATAACTGGACCAGTTGATTGACAGTTGAGAGGTGGGACCAAAGAGCCAAAGTTCAACCGCTCAAGCACAAATAGGCGAGTACAACAAGGTGAGTACAAGTTTAGGGGCTGGTAAATGTTAATCTTGTTTAATAAGCTGTTCACTTGAGACAGTTAAGCAAGTCCCAGCTGTGTCTGGGTACAAGTGACAGGATGAACAACCCAGCGGGTTTTCTTCCTATTGGGGAGTGTTGTACATGCTGCTATGGCGGTGTGTCCACTCACACAATGAGTGCCGCTGCCTAATACTCTTGCCCCTTGGCAAGTTTATTGGGCAGCGGCACTATTAACTACTAACCTGCCCCAGAATGCAACCCCACACAACAGTTAGTTGCCCAACACCCAGGTACCTATTTACTGCTACTAGCTGAACAGCCGCATTAGGTGAAAGGAAACGTGCCCCAACCATTTCTGTCTTGCTTGGGAATCGAACCCAGGAACCCCGATTAAAAGTGAAGAATAAAGTCAAGTAAAAGATCTTCAGCATAAAAACAAGTTCCCTAAAAAAATTGACAGCCATTAAAATATTGGTCATAATAAATGGAACATAAATGGAAACTGCTTTCTGTGAAAAGCATTTCAAGTCAGGCGAGCTGTCGAAACACTTGAGACATGCAAACATGCTCCTATGGCAGACACCCCTCGTATGTATATAGGAGAGCGAGCGTCAAGACGTCCCCGGCATGATGGCCAGCAAGTGGTAGCTGGGAGTCACCTTGCGCCAGCCGCCGGCCACCTGGTCAATGCTCCCACCCTCCCTCCTGGGGAGCCCTCGCCTCCACTCCCACCAATATTCCCCTTCATTCTTTTCAATCCTGTCCTTCTAAAGTACAGCAGAATCGCCCCCGTCTAATGCTGAATTACTGCAAGTTACGGCGTATGCCAACTTCTATTTAATGCATTAAAATACTATCTATATGCTGTACTTGATTTCAAATAGTAAATTTTCTATAAAAAAGGCCACTTTTTGATATTAAGTTTTATTATCACTGTGTAGTTGTAATTAGTTACATATACAAAGCAAGAGAGCTACAAACATGGTTCACTTAACTATAGGTAAAACTCTATATACGTGGTCTATCCCCTCGTTACAAGCCTACACGTGGTCTATCCCCTCGTTACAAGCCTACACGTGGTCTGTCCCCTCGTTAGAACCCTACATGGTCTATATCCTTGTGTGTGTTAAGTTTCATCGATAACTACTGTTAATGTTAAAATAAGACATCTATGACAACGAACTGTAATTGTGCCTAGTAATCCTTGTTCATTTCTGTGTATTGTTATTATTGTGTATTATTCTAATCTGTTTGTGTCAAAAATTCTTACAATGTACTTTTGAAAACTTTTTTTTATTTGAATTTTACTGTAATTATTCTACTTAAAATCATCTGTATTTGTAAAGTAAAGATGTAAAGTACCTGTAAACATTTTTTGACACTTTCACTGTAAATTCTCTAAAAATCATCTGTTAGTTTAAGGACTTGTCCGAAACGCTATGCGTGCTAGTGGCTTTACAAGAATATTTCAACTTTAACTCTATGTTTTCTGTTAACCCCCAATGTACCTTCTTGTATATATATAAATAAATAAATCAAATACGTACTATGAGTCAATAAGGAGAGTAGATAGAGCACGCGCGCGCCTGCTCTATTTACTCTCCTAACTACTCTATTGTTAGGGTACAGTGCTGAATTGTACACGCGTACAGTGCGGAACAATTATGTACAGCTCCAGCACAACGAGTTCACTGAAGACAGCGTAATCTCATCAGTAAGTCCGTCCACTGAGGAGATTACATAATCACATTTCAGGATTGAGCAATACCAACCGTACTAATCTGGCATGTTTCGTGCACACGCAAACACGGCTAGGACGAAGCCCCAGAATTCGTTAACCTGGCGACCTTGCATAGTTTGTGAGATTGCAAAATCATTGTTGGAGGTCTTGGTAATCTGCCGCTCTACTTACATATTCAACAAATTTGCAGTAACTCTTAGAATATAGCTCTCGCTTCCATTATGCTCATCACTGGCAAGGACAATTCAAAATTTGTAATTTTGAATTGTCCTTGCCATTAATTAATGGCTTATGTACTGTACTACAGAACTGCAGTGGTGGTCTGTGGCCCGGGTTACTCAACCCGTCATCCTGAATAGTACATCGCATTTTGCCGTATAAATCTCTTAAGGCCAAACGCTGATGCACTCAATCATGGCGGCTCGCAAAATTTACGTGATGTCCCGGTTTCTATTCGTGTGTCCTCAGTTAGGTTAGGTAATTTAGTACACCGTTCAGTTCGCCAACGGGTTTTAAAACTACTAAATCTTATCCAACCTAGCCGAGCCTAACCTAATACATCCTAACCTAACAATATATATAGTTTTCCACAATCTGAAAAAAGACCATTGTTGAACCCGTTGTTGTAGGATTTGACACCATAGGCTACTAGGTTTCGTTTATTTATCATTTACCTCGGGGCAAAATTTAATTTAGGTTTCGTTCTCCTTTCTGTACGGGACATTGTGATCACTACACTTCTACAGTCTCAAGTGAATACACTGGTACCAGGGCTCGACTGTACAGTACAGAGGCACCGGAACAAAGTAGTTAAATTAGTGAATTATGCATCTCATGCCTATCCGGTGGACGGTACCGGAAAGGCTAGTCACCACAGTTTCAGGAAGTGGACCCCGATGTTCTTCATTCTAAGACAATCACGATTGCGGGGAACTTGCTGCAGTTTTCACTCGTCTAAAAACCATGCTTGCCGGTGTTGCCTTCCACACGATTTAGATTATTTCAGTTTTAAATGACAAGTTGACGTTAAACTCATGATAAAGGGTGAAAGATACGGGTGTAAAGGGGGGAAGGGGGTGGAAGATTGGTGTAAATTTAAGGGGGAACTGGGCAGGTTGGAAAGAATGAGTGAGATAAGATTATCACTGGAGATAAAGTAAAATAAAAGGTATTGAGGAGGAGGAATAAGGATAGATTGGGGAAGGT